AATTGTAATTTTCCGCTAATTTATTTGAGAATACTTTATAAAGTGTCCTCTTTACCGCATCATCGACGCCTGTTCCACCAATTGCTTGTATATATGCGCGCTATAATAAGAATAAAAGTAATATTATTATTAAAGTTAATAACGATCTCTTTTTCTTAACAGTAATTTCCAATTATTTTTCATAATACATTTTATTGTGAATTGAAACGTTTACTGAAAATTGATTATGCAATAAACTTATAAATTTGATAATAATTGGAAATATATTATATATAGGGTAAACCATTTATAATGTTAATGACAAAAATATCTTGTAACATATGCATTCAATTAAGAAAAAGATTTTAGACAAAAGTTGCAAGTACCAAGGGGGACATATATGATACCATACCAGTTATTTTTTTGCTCTTTTGCTTTTTTATCGAAATATATGTAAAGGTCACTTTCGATTTTTTAAATGTTGTTGGGTATACTCAATTAAAAAAATAAAAGTGACCTTTATATCTTGATAAAAAAAAGGCTAAGCAAAAACTATATGGTCCTATCATATGTCCCTCGTATTAAAACCATGACACTAATTATTGTTATATAAGACATTTCTTCATATGTATATTTTAGGATACATACACGGTCTATCCCAAAAGTTCCCGAAAGTTCGGGAACTTTTGGGACAGACCGTACATTTTACAAAATTTACAAAGTATCGTTAACGTTTATGAATGGTTCACCCTATGTATTCAGTTACTAAAATATATAGATATGTGCTAACTTACTATTTCAGTGTTCTCTTGGGAATTAGCAGTTTTTAAAATTTCCTCAATTTCCGTTAATTGGGCTCTAGTTTCTAAAGGAAATCGATTTTCAGCGCCTTTGTAAGAAAATCTCGTATTTTCACATTCTGTGCTTCTGTTGCTTTTGTCCACTAAAATATCCAATAGAGATAGTGCTTGTCTCATATCGTATTTTACAGTTGCTATTTCTCTAGTCAATCTCTTTAAATGATCCACTGTAAATAGCATTTTTAATTATTAATAAACGAATAAAATGTGTGTGTATATATATCATGTAAATTTCAAAAATCTACATTTTTCGTTTATTAGTAAAACTCTATTAGTATATCGAAATAATATATAGTTTTGTATACTATATATTATTATTTTATATACTATATAAAAGTTCATATGTGTTATTTCGGTATATAGATAGTAAATAGAGGTTTACTAATAAAAAGAACAAAATGTAGATTTTTGAAATTTATACTACACACACACACACACACCAGTAACGTATTATTGTATGCATATAAATGTATGTAATATATATATATATATATATATATATATATATATATAAAACATGAATTAAAGTTGCATTACACATGTTGATTTATCAAGAAATACAGCAGACAAGACGATGTATTATTTTGATATATGTATATAATTATTTTAACAATAAAAAGAATATATATAAAATGTTGCTTTTTGAAATTATTTGAAATTAATAGTTTTAATTTTTTTTAAATCAATAGTTTTGTACAATATTAAAATATGTATAAATTATAATTATTTTTTTTTCATTTTTTTCAAATACACACACACACACAAAGTTAAATACCCAGATAGCACAAGATATTCGAAAAGAATTCATTTATATGTCATCAATTTTGAGTCCTTTTTCAAATGCATATAAAATTCATTTTAAAAATGAATTCTATACATATATGTATAACTATGCATAAAATTTAAACAATTAATTGTAGTGAAACATTACATATAATAGATGCTTTGAAACTATACAATACATGTATACATATATATATATATATATATATATATATATATATAGTTACGTCGAGAATCTATTATGTATAAAATCATATAATTATTGTTAAAATATGCCTTATATTATGCCTTATATATTATATGCCTTATATTTTATGCCTTATATCTTTATTATATATTTATCTTACTAATTGCCTTATTCATTGTCATTTGTATCATTCCGCGCATATATGTTAGATCGATCAACTTCCTTAATTCGATTATGTCATTGTTTCGATGATGCATGGTTCTTCATCTATTTCGTATGAAGTATCGTTGTCATTTGCATCTGTACATGAAATATATTATAAATATACATTTAATGTAAACACACTTTATGTGAGTATAGCAGGTATTATTATAATTTCTGAGATATTTTATTAATATTGTTATTATGTATTATTTTAAATGTTTCATGTGTGTATATAAAATTATGGAATACTCTTTTAAATTTTTTAAAATAATTTTTAACAATTAATTCTTTTTAATAATTAAATACTGTGATATTTTTTTACAAATATGAAATTTTACATTGTATTATATTATTACATGGAAATATGTAATGAATTTACTCACCTTGTTGAGATGATGTGGAGTTCAAGTTTGAAACTTGTGATGATCCTTTGTGTTTTTTTGTAGAATCCGAAAAATATATAGTGGAACCTGATGTATTTTCACATTGAACTGCTTCATTTGTATTGTACAGTCGTTGACCTTTAATTTGATTAAACACAATATGTGTTATATGCATAATAAAATATATGTTAACACACACACACATATAAAAGATATGAATTTTATATCTATATACATGTAAAATTTATAGTTTTTCTATTATGTATTTAACATATAATATATATATATATATATATATATATATATATATATATTTATATATATATATATATGTATATATATAATGTATTTAACATACATATATGCAATATTAGAATTATTCATAATTACGTTTCACAGGAGGACATGGAGCAGACGGTAAAGTTGCACTTGTGCCCTCTTCTTCGCTTTCGGATGAATATATATCTTTTCTCGCTCTATATTTTCTATACTTTTTCGTCTCTTTTTCAGTATCCATATCTGATGTATATAAGGCCTTTTCTGCTACCGCATCAGCTTTCTGTAAGGACGCTGAAAATGTTAAAAATATATTAATATAAGTATAATGAATAAGTAAAACTGAAGCATCATAAAAGCTTTTTTATTTAAATACTTACAATACTCGCCAAAAATCCGTTTAATTTTAAAGGAAGACCAGGAAGAACTCGGCTTTTCCTCTTTTTCAATTGCCTTACGAATTTGTTGATCCGTTTTTAAATGTGAAGGATATTTGCATAATTCTTTATTACTTTGTAGCCAAATTTTAGGTATTACTTGAATACCATCGGAAAATTCAACCACGATGAATCCTCGATCTGACATCTTCCTGTGAAATTTAAAAAAAGCATTTACGAGTAATCATGTTAACAAAGATATCGATTTGTATAAACTATATATATATATAATATATATATAATATATATATATATATATATATATATATATATATAGTGTGTGTAAAAAAGATTGTCTCAATTCAAAATTTTATCAGAATTTACTTTAATTTTTTATTAAACAAATAAAAACTCAAGATACAAATATTATAAATGTGCAGTACTTATAAACGGTATCACTGCGAAATACTCTTTCATTTTTGTATGGCAATTTTACAAATTTGTAATTGATTTTATTCAAAGGCCATCTTTGAATGTCAGATAATTCAATTACTTTAAAAATGTTTAAATGATTAGAATTACATATATTATTATAAAGTTCTTCAACAACTTTAAATTTACGACTGACTGCAATATAATTGCCATCACTCGATGTTGCAATATTTTCCAAACAGATAATTTCCTTTTCTATAAGACAACAATTATCGGAAGATTTGATTGAAATAATAAAATGAGAAAATTCAACCTTTGAAAATTGTGGATTGAAACAACCTGATATTAACGGTCCTTTCTCATGTCGATTCTTTACACATATTTTTGAAATGTCTGCATTGTTAGATTTTACTCATTTCCGCATAGTGATTGTTAATTTACTTTAATGGTTTCTCAGATCTTCTTAAAAGACATTGTAATTCCTTCATAAAATTTTCAAATGAAAAGACGATATCTCGTTGAAATACGCGACGGATATTTGCGCTTCAGCATAATTTTATATATATATAATTTTATTGTTATGTGTTTTAATATAAATGAAAACTATTTAATAAAAATACGAACTACGCACTTGCCTTATATTCTGGATAACTCCTGTTGTCAGATATAGTATCTTAATTCTTTCCTGATAGCAATACGTGCGTCTGACACAATCCGCTGTCTCGGAAGAGAGGATCAGGAATGCGAAGCGGAGTGCGATCAACAACGTCGTTGCAATCGTCGTTGCTAATGAACAAACATAAATTAATTTACGGCGATATCTTGTTGAAATACGCGACGGATATTTGCGCTTTGGCAAGATTTTATATATGTATATATATATATATATATAATTATTGTTATGTGTTTTATTATAAATGAAAACTATTTAGTAAAAAATACGGATTACGCACTTGCCTTATATTCTGGATAACTCCTGTTGTCCAATATAGTATCTTAATTCTTTCCTGATAGCAATACGTGCGTCTGACACAATCCGCTGTCTCGGAAAAGAGGACCGAGAATACGAAGCGAAGTGCGATCAACAACGTCGTTGCAATCGTCGTTGCTAATGAAGAAACACAAATTAATTTACGGCGATATCTTGTTGAAATACGCGACGGATATTTGCGCTTTGGCATGATTTTATATATGTATATATATATATATATATATATAATTATTGTTATGTGTTTTATTATAAATGAAGAAACTATTTAGTAAAAAATACGGACTACGCACTTGCCTTATATTCTGGATAACTTCTGTTGTCCAATATAGTATCTTAATTCTTTCCTGATAGCAATACGTGCGTCTGACACAATCCGCTGTCTCGGAAGAAAAGAGCGGGAACGCGAAGCAAAGCGCGATCAACAACGTCGTTGCTATGATCAACTATAGCAACGTCGTTGATTATAGCAACGACGTTGTTAATCGCGCTTTGCTTCGCGTTCCCGCTCATTTCTTCCGAGACGGCGGATTGTGTCAGACGCACATATTGCTATCAGGAAAGAATTAAGATACTATATTGGACAACAGGAGTTATCCAGAATATAAGGTAAGTGCGTAGTCCGTATTTTTTACTAAATAGTTTTCATTTATAATAAAACACATAACAATAATTATATATACATACATATATAAAATCATGCCGAAGCGCAAATATCCGTCGCGTATTTCAACAAGATATCGCCGTAAATTAATTTATGTTTGTTCATTAGCAACGACGATTGCAACGACGTTGTTGATCGCACTTCGCTTCGCATTCTCGGTCCTCTCTTCCGAGACAGCGGATTGTGTCAGACGCACGTATTGCTATCAGGAAAGAATTAAGATACTATATTGGACAACAGGAGTTATCCAGAATATAAGGTAAGTGCGTAGTCCGTATTTTTTACTAAATAGTTTTCATTTATAATAAAACACATAACAATAATTATATATACATACATATATAAAATCTTGCCGAAGCGCAAATATCCGTCGCGTATTTCAACAAGATATCGCCGTAAATTAATTTATGTTTGTTCATTAGCAACGACGATTGCAACGACGTTGTTGATCGCACTCAGTTTCGCATTCCTGATCCTCTCTTCCGAAACGGTGGATTGTGTCCGACGCACGTATTGCTATCAGGAAAGAAGATACTATATATTGGACAGGACAGGAGTTATTCAGAAAATAAGGCAAGTGCATAGTCTATATTTTTTACTAAATAATTTTCATTTATATTAAAACACAACAATATATATATAATTATGCCGAAGCGCAAATATCCGTCGCGTATTTCAACGAGATATCGCCGTAGATTAATTCGAGAAGAGAGTGATGAATTATTTCCGCTTATATGTAATAATGAAGAACCTAGAACCAATTCGCGTGTAATTAAAAATAATTCCGTATTGAATAATGACAATGATGAAATTCTACACGCCAATTTTAATAACGCTCTTTCCGCATTTGTACAAGAGACAACGAATTTATCATTTTCCGAGGAAACGAACATTTTCGAATCTGATACTTCCTTGAACAATACATTAGTACGAACTTTTATAATAGAGGATGATAATAATAATAATTTAGAAAAAGAAAACAATGATTTTGAGGCATTTTTAATACAATGGGCTATCACGCATCATATTTCTCATGTAGCTTTATCACATTTATTGTCTGGTTTGAAAAAAGTACATCCAATTTTTTTTAATTTGCCAAAATGTGCAAAGACATTATTACGTACACCACGATCTTCTGTTATTACTGATATGTTTCCTGGTCAATATTGTCATATCGGTATTGAATACGGTATTCTACAATTTTTATCTGCAAGTAATGGTATGAATAATAGTACAGTTTTATCTTCTATTAAAATTCAAATCGGTATTGATGGTTTGCCGATATCTCGATCTAACTCGAATCAATTATGGCCCATTTTAGGTCGAATTATGCCTCATAGAAAAGTATTTCTTATTGGTTGCTATTTTGGTAAAACCAAGCCCGCGGATGCAAATGAATTTTTAAAACAATTTGTAAAAGATATAAATGTTTTGATTGATAAAGGCGTAACTTATAATAAAACAACATTTCCAGTTTCAATACACTCTATAATATGTGATGCTCCTGCAAAATCATTCATAACACTTACTAAAGGACATACTGGTTATTTTAGCTGTTCAAAATGTACAATTGAAGGTGAATTTATCGCTAACAGAATTTGTTTTCCCGGTTTTGATTGGCAAAAAAGAACAGACGTGAGTTTTCGTAATCAAATTCAAGAAGAATATCATCTCGGTCGTTCTATTTTATTAAACATTTCAAATTTTGACATTGTATCTCAAATTCCATTAGATTACATGTACTTGATATGCATTGGCATTGTTAAGAAATTAATAAAATTATGGATAAGTGGTCCTCTTAAATCTAGATGTTTATCATCGCAACGAATAAAAAGTATTTCTCAATCTCTTCTCGATATGAGACGTTTTATTCCAAAAGAATTTGCAAGAAGACCGCGAGAAATTCAAGATTTTGCACAATGGAAAGCAACCGAATTAAGGCAATTTTTGTTATATACCGGTCCGATTGTATTACAAAAAGAAGTAAATTCTGATATATTTTCAAACTTTTTAACTTTACATGTTGCTACTCGCATTTTATGCCAAAATAATAGTACAGTCGAATATATTGAATATGCAAATAAATTATTTAAACATTTTGTTGAATGTTTCATCAAAATTTACGGGCCCGAATTTGTATCCCATAATATTCACGGTCTTCTGCATATAACTGATAACGTAAAACAATTTGGGCCATTAAATACTTTTAGTGCTTTTCCATTTGAAAATTTTATGAAAGAATTAAAATCTCTTTTAAGAAAATCTGAGAAACCATTAGAGCAAATTAACAATCGCTATGCGGAAATGAGTTTTCATAAAATCAAATCTAACAATGCAGACATTTCAAAAATATGTGTAAAGAATCGACATGAGAAAGGACCGTTAATATCAGGTTGTTTCAATCCACAATTTTCGAAGGTTGAATTTTCTCATTTTATTATTTCAATCAAATCTTCCGACAATTGTTGTCTTATAGAAAAGGATATTGTCTGTTTGGAAAATATTGCAACATCGAGTGATGGCAATTATATTGCAGTTGGTCGTAAATTTAAAGTTGTTGAAGAACTTTATAATCATATATGTAATTCTAGTTATTTAAACATTTTTAAAGTAAGTGAATTATCTGACATTCAAACGTGGCCTTTGAATAAAATCAATTACAAATTTGTAAAATTGCCATACAAAAATGAAAGATATTTCGCAGTGATACCGCTTATAAGTACTGCACATTTATAATATTTGTATCTTGAGTTTTTATTTGTTTAATAAAAAATTAAAGTAAATTCTGATAAAATTTTGAATTGAGACATTCTTTTTTACACACATTATATATATATATATATATATATATTTATATATTATATATATATACATAGTTTATACAAATCGATATCTTTGTTAACATGATTACTCGTAAATGCTTTTTTTAAATTTCACAGGAAGATGTCAGATCGAGGATTCATCGTGGTTGAATTTTCCGATGGTATTCAAGTAATCCTAAAATCTGGCTACAAAGTAAAGAATAATGCAAATATCCTAAAAAATTCATTAATATCAAAAAGTAAAAAATACATGAATTATTTTATTTAATACACATAGCTTGGTAATTAACTAGTGTAATTATGTTATATTGCAGAATTTTTTATTTGTTGTCACTATTTTTGTTTATGTGCAATAATACATCCAGTTTATTTTCAGATTATTTTCATGGAAGTCAATGATGAAACGCAATATACAAGTTTCAAATAACTTATATATGCAGATCTGAGACTTCTTAAAAAAATTAAATAAATAAAAATTTAACATGTGTGTCATCGATTTTATGCTAAAATATTATTCAGTGCAATGGCCCTCAGGCCCTAAAGCCATTGCATGTAAATAAAAATTTTACATTGCCTCAATGACACACATAAAGATACGTAAGCGGCAATAAAACATATTGAATGTATTCCATTATTACTGAAAATACTATACAGTTACATATATATGTACTAATAATATAGATTTTCAAAAAACTGAGTATAATAAATATCGAAACGCAACTTTAAAGTAAAAAAAACTAAAAGCACTGTAAGCTACATATAGAGAAAAGTATAAATACTGTAAGACTTAGATAGTAAAAGCGAACTGATCAACCATAGTATTTTTGAAATAATTCTCGCGAGTCTTCTTATCTCTCATTATGATTGGTTAATTCGCGCTTATTGTCTAAATCTTACAATAACCTTATTATTAATAGATTTTACGTATGTTTCAGATGGACAATCCATATACATTTACATTAGTATAATAAGTTATATAGTTTTCAGAGTTCAACGTATTTTATTTTAAATATATAATTGCAAATTCAATAAAAATTTCTTTTATTACGTTTTTATTAATGTATTCGTCCGTTATTGCAAAATATTTTTTATTTATATTGATTTGTATATTTTTTATTTGTATATGCGATTATTATTAATTTTACAATAAAAACAGAAAAATTTTTTACAATTTCTGTATTTTTGTGTGTTTCCAATTGTCTTCTTTAATAATTAAGCTAGAAATATTTTAGAAACATCCATAAATCATCTACATAATCTCTAGTAGATGTTCATTATTCATCTACATATGTAACCTCTAATGGATATCCATTATCCATTCATCATTTTTTGAAATATCCATAATTACTCTGTATTACATCCATATGACATCTATGAGTACGTCTAATGGATGTCGAATGGAAGTAGCAAATGCGAAACTAGAAACATAATGTTTTTAGTGTTATTATTTTATTATTTAATATATTTATATTATATTCATGAATTTAGTAAAGTTGAATTTGTAAATTTTAGAAAATTAAAAATAGGATATATAATATCACATGTTTTTAAGTGTACTTTCAATACATTTGAGAATTATAAATAATATTTAAATTAAAATTAAATGTTTTGTTAAAAAGTAAAAGAAATAATACGTATACAAATATATTTAATATTTATTCATCTATCATCTATCATAGATATCTATTAGACATCTATGATGGATTTACAGACGATCATTTTATCGCGGAGATAATATGGAGATCTATTAGAGATCTATACAGCGTCCATCGTGGAGATAGATGTTCCATGGAACTATGGAGGCTATATGGACATCCATTGGATGTCATGTTCTGTGTGGGTATATATATATATATATATATATGTGTCAATCGATCATTTTGACGACGATTTTTAGTACCAATTAGCTACTTTGACGACTTCTGACTATTTTGACGACTTCTGACTATTTTGACGACGGTCGTCAAAATTTTAACGATAAATCGTATACTTTGGCGACGTCGTTAAACTATTTTAAAATAAAAAATTGACTAATTTAACGACATTGTATACTTTGACGACACTATATTTATTTTTTGGCAATTTTGACGACGATAAAAAAAATTTGTTAAAGAAGAAAGTAAAATATTCGACATATGATAAAATATGATTACTATTTCATTAAAAATAACTTAAATGATTTAAACCGATTTAAAATGACTTTTATTTTGACGAGATTAAACAAAAAGCTCTTTGGTTTTGTATATGTTGAGAAAAATTACTTACATAATTATTTGATATAATTATTTGAATATTTTAGGAAAAATTATTTACACAATTACTTGATATAATTTTGAGGAAACAAGTAGTCGGATTGAGTATATAATAACCCATGTAGAATCCTATCCTATTGCAAACCCATGTAGAATCCTATGAAAAATTAATCATTGTGTAGGCGAATTATTATTCTACCGATATTCATTTATATACACGCGTGAGCGGCGAATTACGTTTCCTCTCCCCCCCTGGCGGCGCTGCGTAAGAAAGAAGGGAGAAGGTTAAGAAGGTCAGTCCCCCGCGGAAAGGGAGAGCGGTTGGACAGATATACGGCAGTGAGCCGTCGTGCGTGTCCTATCGAGTACAGTTTAACCTAATAAAGATCCTTTGTTAAGATCCACTAGAAGCCTTATTAGAATTACGCCCTGACATCATCTAAAACTATCCTGACACCACCTACAACTTCAGAAGTGGGATCGAAGAAGAAGTTAGCGAAGGATCCGTGAGGTTAATACACGCACGAGAGATACACGGGACTTTGAAAAGTACGACCAAGTGTTGTGGTCGATGCAGAGAAAACCGTGTCTTGTGTTACTCGAGTAGAAAGACAGAATATTCCGCGCTGTGTGCCACGAATATTTTGAAGGTTATTCGCGCTGTGTGCCGCGAATCTTTGCTCGTGCTAAAAGACAGAATATTCCGCGCTGTGTGCCACGAATATTTTGAAGGTTATTCGCGCTGTGTGCCGCGAATCTTTGCTCGTGCTAAAAGACAGAATATTCCGCGCTGTGTGCCACGAATATTTTGAAGGTTATTCGCGCTGTGTGCCGCGAATCTTTGCTCGTGCTAAAAGACAGAATATTCCGCGCTGTGTGTCACGAATATTTTGATGGTTATTCGCGCTGTGTGCCGCGAATCTTTGCTGCGTGCTAAAAGACAGAATATTCCGCGCTGTGTGCCACGAATATTTTGACGGTTATTCGCGCTGTGTGCCGCGAATCTTTGCTGCGTGCTGAAAGACCGAATATTCCGCGCTGTGTGCCACGAATATTTTGACGGTTATTCGCGCTGTGTGCCGCGAATCTTTGCTGCGTGCTGAAAGACCGAATATTCCGCGCTGTGTGCCACGAATATTTTGACGGTTATTCGCGCTGTGTGCCGCGAATCTTTGCTCGTGCAAAAAGACAGAATATTCCGCGCTGTGTGCCACGAATATTTTGACGGTTATTCGCGCTGTGTGCCGCGAATCTTTGCTGCGTGCAAAAAGACAGAATATTCCGCGCTGTGTGCCACGAATATTTTGAAGGTTATTCGCGCTGTGTGCCGCGAATCTTTGCTGCGTGCTAAAAGACAGAATATTCCGCGCTGTGTGCCACGAATATTTTGACGGTAATTTGCGCTGTGTGCCGCGAATCTTTGCTGCGTGCTAATTGTTCCGCCGCGTACGAGAGAAAGCGAGTCCACGTATCGCGCGCGGTGAATCGACGTGTAACGCGATATCCTTGTGAGATAGAATATTCCGCGCTGTGTGTCGCGAATATTTTGACGGTAATTCGCGCTGTGTGCCGCGAATCTTTGCTGCGTGCTAATTGTTCCGCCGCGTACGAGAGAAAGCGAGTCCACGTATCGCGCGCGGTGAATCGACGCGTAACGCGATATCCCTGTGAGATAGAATATTCCGCGCTGTGTGTCGTGAATATTTTGACGGTAATTCGCGCTGTGTACCGCGAATCTTTGCTGTGTGCTAATTGTGCCGACGTGTGTCGCGAACATTTTGACTGAGGTTAAACATTTATTAACACGTCGCTGTGTGCTAGGACGTATAGAAAAGGGAAGTGCAGTGTGTCACTAACAATGGCGAGACCGCCGAGTGCGTATACGCTTGCCGAGATTAAGGACATTCTCCGCGAGAAGAAGTTGCCGGCGACCGGTAACAAAGCTGACCTGATAGATCGATTGACTGCCAATGACCCGGAGATATGGACCACACTGGATGAACAGAGGTCACGGCAGAGCCGCGGTGTCGATCAGCCGATTGACGCGGGCCATGAATCGAGGGATGCCGTCGCGGGCAAGGACAATGAAAGCCAAGTAAGTGACGACGCATCCGTTGAAGGTCCTTTGACTGAGAATGACTTGATTCGACGAGAAAATGAACTACTTAGAAGAGAACGAGCTCTTCTTCAACGTGAATTAGATATCGTTAGACGAGAGAACATCGAAGATCATGGAGCACCGCAGATGAATGATGGCGGAAGAAGACGTAATGGTCCACCGATGAGCGAAAGTGTAAGGGCTATTCGCGACTTGTTGAGCGAATTCGACGGCAGTGAGGGTACGTTCTGGAAATGGGAACAGCAGGTACAATTGCTGCGAGTGTCGTACGCCTTGGATGATGCGGCGACAAGAATTTTAATAAGCTCTAAATTAAAAGGACGTGCATCCGAGTGGTTTCACTCTAAACCACATCATCTTACCCTTAGTATAGAAAATCTATTGGCGGCCATGAAGGGAATGTTCGACCTTCGTCAATCAAGATTGTCCCTACGCAAGAAGCTCGAAGAGAGAGCATGGCGGACGGACGAATCATTCACGAGTTACTTCCATGATAAAATAATCCTCGCTAATAGGGTACCGATAGTAGATGACGAAGTTGTCGATTATGTCATCGAGGGTATACCTGATCGCAATCTCAGAGATCAAGCACGTATTATGCAGTTCGAGTCTCAGTCGGATTTGTTGGAGGCATTTAAAGGATTGACGCTACACCCGAAGAAGTTCCCTGATCGCGAATGGAAGAAACCTATTGATCAAGGAAAAATCCAAAAGGATGGGAAATTGTCGATGAAGGAGAGTTCAGCGTTTAAAGGAAATCCAGCATCGTCGAGTGCAGATTTGGCACCACGCCGAAAGATAA